TCAATTTAAAGTTCACAAATTGGCTTGCACACGGCGAGGTTCTTGAGATCATTGGCTTCATCATCACAGCCAACACAGGTTGTCCCGACCTCATGCCCAGAACCAAGCCAAGAGGTGGCGACGCCGGTTGAGGAACCATTGCCACTGGTTGAGGAACCATTGCCAGATGCATTTGATGTTGATCCAAAGGGCAAGAGTTGCGTGCAATTTGATACAGAAGCCTTAAAACGCTTCGAAGGAATCCGAGGTATGTCAGAAGAGCATCCCAAACCTGTAGGATCAGAGAATTTCCGAAAACGGCCGAACTATGATGGGTCCAGAAGGAGGATCTTTAAAATCCAGCAGACTCGAGTGTCGCACCTTGCCAGTTTGCTAAATGATGTGAATTTCAACCATGACATGGGAATCAGGCTTCGCGGGTCTCCGGAACAGAAAACAATCCAAGGCATGCTGAGAATGGCCCTAGCCCAGCTCGAGTACAACGATTGCTTGGCCAGGACCAATGCCGATGTCACCGGAGGATATGTTTCGTCAAGTTCAAACAAAGCCGGATGCTAGAAAGGCTTCTGCAGTTCCTCAAAGTATTTTGGTCGTTTGCAAAGGGCGCACAGGATGCATTTGTTGCTCGACTTGAATCTTCATCAAATTTGATGGTGATCGTTGAACTGCATGTTTTTTGTGGGGTCTTGAGTTCAATGGTTGGTCGGGTGGAGGTTCTCTTCGTGGCTGGGAACAAAGTTGGCCAGCGACGGCCATGGTATGTTCTTGGAAAGCTTGTCTCCCCGACATGTGCGCTTGCGTTGTTGGGCATGGGCCTCGATCGCTACAACCGGATCATGCAGCACCGTCGGGATATGCGGAAATCAGATGGAACGGACATTTGGCATTCATTAGTCCGGCATTCAAGTCAAATTAATCACGTTGTCTCCCAGGACGTTTTTGCATTCCCACCCATATTGAACCCTGCTATTTCCTTGTTATCGGCTGGTCCATGCAGCTTCCAATTCAAGTCATTCAATCTTAGGCACGAACTCGGACAGCGCGCAAGAGAAGGAGGGTCAATTTTTTCCTCCTTGATGTTTATATGAAGGCAGCAGGTATGTTGCCAAACAAGCCATTTGGTGGCAAATAGTCGTGAACAGTTGCGACTTTTCCTCGTTCGAGCATCACAGTTGAGTGAGGTTTCAAAGGGGAAGCCGCAAGAGGAATGCTCAGAAGGAGACGATGACCGTCGTCTTCGAGGCCGATGATCAGCAATCTGAGTCCTCAGAGTCTTCAGTGGAGGGGCCAGAGGAGGAAGACATTGTCATTCCACGGGAGCCCCTAGAGGAAGATCAGGAGCTTCGGCTACACATCCTGGGGATGACTGGATTTTGGACCAGTTCTATCGAGACGAATTTCGCATCGAAGCTCTCCGAGCTACCAACGCACTGGTTGCCACCCGGCACAATCCGAATGTTGTACCACAAATTTCAATTGGAGTGTCAAGTCAAAGAAGCCAGCTGCAGCTACGGGTATTTTTTGGAACACGTTCCGTTCCCATTGGCATAACCTTCTGCGATTCCTTCCACCCTCGACGCACGGCACGTGCGATGCGTGCGCTGCGTTCAAGTCCCGGTTCAAGAAAGCAATCACTCCAGCAGACAAATTTCAAAACGCAACGGCTTACAGGGCTCATCTAGACGAAGTTGCCAGAGACAGGGATCTTGAAGAGTTCTTGCAAACTGCCACGCCGCTTACAACTCCAGGATCCCCATTGTGCATGCACTGGGTCGATGGGATGAGTTGAATTAAGTTTTGAGTTTCCTGCTTGACATGTTCTTGTCACAGCATGCCATGCATGAAGTCACTGCAAGGGTTTGTCATCAGTTGCTGCGCGCGATAGTTTATATGCATGCACTTGCTTAGATTGGGCCTAGCCCAGGACGGTATGGATCAATCCAAGTGGCGAATACCAAGATATGATGGCCAGCGGCCGCTCAAGAGCACCATGAATCTTCAGCGACCCCAGTTGAAGATTCAGGGGATCTGGATTTTCAATGTGACCCTAGATCTTTGGGTTCCCTGGCTACCATCTAAGAGACGATCACAGTTTTGGTTCATTGACTAACATCTACTAGACGATCAAAGTCTGAACGTTGCTAAAAGAGTGGTTCTAAGGTCCTAGACCCACGTGTCGCCGCTGACTCAACCATGGTCCTGGAATGTGCAGCACGTTCCATCGATTTCGCATTGCAGCGATGCAAGGACGCCGGAGCAGGAAGCCCGGACCAACTATTGGTTTGGGAGCCTTGGACTGCTCGGTGGGTTGAATGTAATTCCTACTTAAACCCCTAGTTATGCCTACTACTAAGTGGCTATTGGGTATGTTTGTCGTGTTGAGATGTGTTGAGTTTGGTGTTGTTCAGTGATACCTAGAGTCCTGTAAGAGTCCAAAAAGCCTAGGCAGATAACTGCGTTCGTGAGAACAAAAACGGGCAACTGCTACGATTCTTGGGATATCTGACAGCAAGCCAAAGAATGCGCATGTGCGGGTATTTTTTCAGCCGGGTGGGACATACCCATTCGGCTTGTGGCGCCTAGTCAGCAAGAGTCACTATGCCAGCATGACTGAATCTTTGTTATATGATTATTACAGACTGTGGTTCTTGCGCTCAGACCAAATCTATGGATTGATCAGCACGGCCATGAAGCACATCGATGTATTGGCCGATGGTCACGATGTTGCCCAGTCCCAAACCCAGAGGAAATTGAATTGACTCGGTCCTTAGTATTTAGTAGCCTTCATCACCCGAGGAAAGTGCGCACCATTTTGAACCGAATCGGGGTCCGCAAGTGGATTGGAAAGGATGCTTCGATCCGAGTGAACTATATATCCGGGATTCGCAACTACAAGCAGTGGCGCTTTGTTTAAATTTGGTCATCAAATGGTTCGTCAGTTCGTCACCCTTTATACCTCATAATATGACTCTATCACCCTCTCCATGTCGCCCCTTCAGATCAACACGCCGTCCTGAGGCTTTCTTCTGTACCAGTGACCTTCAGCGGAGGTCTCAAGACTGATGAGACTGGAATCCATGCCTTCATCTTTATGAGGCGGTCTGGTCAGCAACTCAGTGGCCCATACACCTTAAACATGAAATCTGGTAAGTCTTGACTTTGGTTTGAAGTAAACTTGACATTTTCTGACACTGAGACATTCCAACCAACCTGAGAATCGTGGCGACTGGTCGGGGTGCGGGCCTTGAGATGCACGACAATGATTGCATCCTGATGGTGAAGAGAAATGCAGCGGACGATAATTTATGCCAGGAGTCATTTGCTGTGCAGATGTCAGTCATTCTAAACCGGACCACTGGTTCATTGAAATCCAATTGACTGGTGGATAGTTCAATCATCTTGGACCAATAATAATTGCAGGAACCAATGCTTGCATTTCCACACCGCTTCCTGAGCCTACTGGGACCACTGCCTGGAGTTCCCCGAGCACTGAAAGACATAAAGCCTGCCAAAAAAAAGGACTACGTTCTTTTGGCAAAGTTGCTGCTTCAAAATGACCCAACAGAATGTACTCGAAGATCCGTTGAGTTTCTAATTGGGATTTGCAATGGCTTGGAGCCGGATGCGGTTCCGCCCATTAAATGGCTGGAAGAGGAACCTGCAGTGCTTGGTATTCAATTGGGGGCCCCATCTGCATTTAGCAGGGTTGCCCCAGTGATGCGTTTGCGTGCAACTATCAGGTAATAGCTGCGGGGAAATAATTCCTTTCAATATTATGTAAACATGTCACCACTCTGACGATGTTTTCTGTGACTATGAACACTTTCCCTTTGGCTAGATCTGACTGCACGTCGTGCTTTTGCCTCATGAAAAAGAACGGTGGTACTCTAATTGCATGTGTCTCACTCCAATTTCTCCAGTTTGCTTCACTTTGCAAAGCCGTGGTCCATGTTTATGCCGCAAGCATTTTTGGACATGACATAATACCTAGTAGGATCCCAGGGAAATTGGTCCGTCGACTAGGCGAAGCTTGTCGTCGTAGAAACTTCTGAGGTCAGGTTTTTGAAGGCCGGTTGATTGCCCTGGTGTGCCAAACAATCCTTTTGGGAGGCATGTCCTCAACGCCGGTCGCAAATGCTGCCCATGTATCGCCAGCCGTCCTGGAGAAGGCTTGGAATGCATCCCATGCCTGAGTGATGTCAGACCAAAACCCTGTTGAAGCTTCAAGACACAAAGGCACTTTAAACCGCCGTGCGGTTCTAGTCACTAAACCATCAATTTGGAGTTTGAAGGTCTACTGGCCGCAAGACGATCCACACCATTGGTCGTTCAATGAAGACTCGCAGGCTTGTTGATTCCTGGCACGTCAGGCTTGACATTTAGTCAATATCTGGCAGGTAAGTCTACATGTCTTATCAGTCACGGGGGAGGCCCACAAACATATCGCATTAGCACCCTGTTTGTTTGAACGCTTGGCAGGGTCATCTCATTGATCAATGGCACAAGTATTTAGTCTGGGTCTCGGGGTTTCAATTCTCAAAATGTCGATGCATGCCCTTGCACCATGCAGTGACTATACACCCCATTTCCATCCGCGTTGCTGAGGCTCAGCTCACAAAAGGAAGATGCAAAGTTCAAGGACACCGAGGCCGAAGACCTGTCAGAATTCTTTCACAGAACATGCCCTTCTGATTCTGATTGAACTTCCCCCATTCAATTTCGCTTTGAGGCTCCTGATCCAAAGAAAAGATGAGGTGCATAGCGCGTGCTCCGGAACCACGGCGAAAGGCTTTTGGCGACCGGCGCGAAAAAACTATGTCCGGAGTCCGACCATGCTTCAAACTCTAAAGATCTACGCATGAGATTCTAATGAGATTCTATGTCGAACCCTTTTCTCGGCCTTCAGTTGCCTGGGACCCGTTTGCACTCGCCTGGCATTGCAATGGCCAAGCCGAGACAATGCAGTCTGCGGGAAGCTGTTCGACTGATTAGCAATGGGACCCCCAGGACATGATGGTCGATGATGATGGTAGTCCAGTCACAATAAAGCGAATAAAGTGTTAGTAGGTGACCCATGTCCATGTTGCCATGAAGGAATCCTGCCGCTCGAGTTGGTCGAGTTGAACACATCTCCAAGGGACGAACAAGGCTGGTAAATATTACCGGTAATGAGCTGTTGAAGCTTCTTCAAGTGCACTCATTTGCTGATTTGCTTTTCGACGTTTTGATTCCCTATGGACCTGTTTATGACCGATGCCAGGCATGTCAGGAAGAGTGCCCTGAAGCCCCCGAAGCCGCAGAAGCCTAAGCTGTTCTACTCTCAGATACTCTCAAACACAGTCAGTCAGCAGTGGTTGGTCTGTCATGCCAATGATCATTAGTTAGTTTCACCCGGATTCCGATTCAAAATCAATCCAATAACTTCCGACTCAGACCCAAATGTCGCCCTAGCTGACCCAATCCCATCCCGTGTTCAGGTTTCGATATCCAAAAAACATCTGTGCATCTCCCAGCAGAAGGCCTGCCGATCCGCTTCCGGAGCATTCTTTCCACGTACACCTGGCCAAAGCAGTTCTTGAGTGTGATTGCTCATGAGTATGGAGAGCAGTGGCTCATCAACCGTCTCAAGACTTGGAAGTGGAGCATGAGCACGGCCTTCAGTGGAGTAGGGGCCGCTGAGAATGTTACTTGTTTACTTCAGACTGAGTGCAACATTGTGTTCTATTGTGTTCATCACTGAGTAGGCGTATTGGGTCTAGGATTTAATAGCCGCGCCGAAACTGAGGCTATTCTGTCTTTACAGAATGCTGCCCGCAAGTTTCTTTTCGACAGGAGTCGGGACCGGAAGGGGTTGAAAACGAACCACGTCACCCTTACCTCCAGCTGCGAGATCATGAAGCCATGCCAGCAGATCTTGAGGGACACATACGGTCATTGCAACTACCCTGACATCATGGGGGTGTGCTTAGATCATGGAAATCGGAACTTTTGCAGCACCCATCAAAAGCTCTGCAAGAACGTCGAATGCAAGGGACGCAACTCAGCCATGTTTAGCAAACAGTTGAACCCACACCCACACAAGGATTGAGTTTGCCGCTTCTTCTTGACCACCCGGCCTCATGAGGTATCCGCGTGAACTGTGCCGGGCCATGCCTTGGAGTTGGGATCCGATATTGCAGTGAATGGGAAATAACAACAGAGTTTTTGTTGGAGTCATGCTTGAAACGTATGAAAACCTAGGACCGGTGTGCGTTTCCTTCAGCGCTATGGGAAAGCGCCTTCAAGAACAGGACATCGTATTTGCCACACATGAGCAATACTACAAGGAGTACACTAAGTGCAATGATCTCCTTATCCTGGAAAACGTACCGGAGTACAAGGAGAAACTGGTCGCGTCCCACTTAGGTCCCTCATGGGCCATGGACTCAACGAGGCTCGACCCGAGAATCTTTGGCATGGGGGTTTCCAGGCCAAGGGTCTATATCATTTGTTGGAGGAAGAATGTTTTGAAATGGACTGCTGACTTCCGCCTTGACGAGTTTGTCCGGGCTCTTGCAGCCAAACCACTGCTCACTGCCGGAAACTATTTCTGGCAGAAGATTCCCGAGACAACTCTCACGGCTGCTGAGGAGCTTCAGCCCAATGATTTGTTAGTGCTTGTTTCTCAAGCTCCCAACTAGGTGCCAATTTAACATTCAGACCTGTCACCAGGAGAGAAATCTCATGGACTACCGCGCCATGGCAAACATGGCCTATCCGGACCTTACGCAATATCCCAAGAACGGCCGGCCGCGGGGCGAATTGAGGGATGGTTCCCTCATGGCCCTGACGACAAATTGCAGCAAATTCTTCTCTGAGGACTGGGCGGCATGTGTTTTTTGTCAGTAGGTCCAATGAAGAACTCGTGGAAAGGATGTCGATCCTGCATCACAAGAAACTGATTGGGAGGAGCACCACAGGTTTATGGAACCCACCGAGCTCTTGAGTGCCCAGACTCTTCCTACGACTAGGCTGCAGGAAAGGGCTTGTCTTGCTCCAAAATTGGAGATTAAGGGAGTCAATCAAAACTTGATTCCCAAGTTTGCTGGCAACAGCATGTCTACTCCGTGTGTAGGGTGTGTTTTGTTGGCTGCCTTGTGCGGCCTTGAACGTATTTAATTGACGCTGCCCATCCATAATTAGTGAAGCAAAATTCGGGTTTGCAATGAGGGGTCTGACAATCCAACGCCAGAAGATTGCAGCACTTGTACCTGGAAAACTATTTTTGGGCGGGCCCATGCAAACCATAAACTGCAAGTTGATTGTTTGGTATTCTGGGTGTCACACAAGGGGGGCAAGCTGAGTCCACAGTAAAGTTCTGAGATTTGATGGATGGATGACATAATTTTTACACCCAGCCCACCAAAGACAAACCTTATTGACCAATTGACGCCGCCTCCCACTGTGACACCCAGTTTCGCAACGTGCCTTTCGGCTGGCTTGTTCGACGGTGGCCTTGGAACACTGACAGGGAGGTTTCTTGGACCTGTTCCAAACAACATGTTCGCTCATTCTTTCAAACAACACGTCGTGCAGGTACATGTGGGTTATTCCCAGCTCTTGCAAGCAAACCTCAACTTGTTGCTAAGGCTTACGTTGACTATTCGCTGGACACCAACTTCAAGACGTTTCAGACTCTGTGGCATGTCACTTGCTGGCAACCATCATGATCTAAATCCACACTGGGTCCTTGTAGAGTGTAAAACTTGATCAGCATTGAGAGGCCCTACAAACAAGGAGTTTGCGTGTCCTGCCCTGCCCCTACCTCGTGCCAAGGCGAGACTACGTAATCACTGCATTGCGCTGAACTGATTGGTTCTTAGCTGCACCTTGTTCACCACACATGATAGACGGCACACGGAGCAAAAAGGCATCCCAATTGTCGTCAGTTGCAGCAATGAATTGAATTTCATGCAATGCACTGTGTAGTGGTTCCTTATTAAATCCCATTTCCAACTGCCCGTCACTTCCTTCCATCCACTGGCCTTCACTTCGAATCTCAAGAGATCTTGGGCTGTCGGCGGCCTTGGCAATGGGAAAGCGGGCGGGGGGGGCCGGGGTCCGAGACGGATCGAGCAACAAAGCTCGCTAGGAAATCGCCATGGGCCCAAAAGGTTTTGGAAGGGTTGAAGCTACTTGGATCTGAATCAATCTACTAATTGGTCCGGTGCAGAAACTAAATCGGTACATGAATCATGTTTACCTCAGGTCATTTGACCTGGACAAAGACGAGCATCCCGTGAAGTATGTGGTGTCCAGGATGACCGACAGCATGTACACTGCGCTTCAAGATTGGTTAGAGCGTGACATGGGTGTCTCCTTCAAAACTCGACTTGAAGATGGTGATTCTGAAGCTTGGCTTCCTATCACTGGTCTTGTGACATTTGCCCACGTATCATTGAAGTTCATAGATGTTTGTCACACCGCCCCATGATTAAAACACTGCCCCCTGATCAAACCAATCTACTCAATACTGAGGTATCCGATGCCACTGGTCTGAAAATCTCACCGTTGGTGCTTCGCTATCAGTTGCCATCCGATGGCTTGCCCAACATGCAGCAATGGATGAACACTGCTGCTGAGATCTATCTGGGCGGCTTCGAAAGTGTGCGGGAGCCATTTGAAGTCAAACCGCAGGATGATGGACAGTTGGTGACCATGAAGGGCACTGGCCGCACCGCAATCATACTGTTCGGACTGGTTTGGACATATTTGGAGCTCTCTAAAACGATGACCGATCTCGAGAAGGACGACTTTTCGAGGCTGGTCCAGGATCAGGGTTTTGGTGCTATCTGGCTGTCTGGGTCGTCCCTACGGGAATCAAAACAAGAAAGCGCTGGGGGTGATGGTGGCGGTGGAACCATCGTCCCCTGGGCAAGCCACATGCCACCATCAAGTAATAGGCGATTTAAATTTCATCACATTATCCTGCAGTCCTGTGATTTGATACTTTGCCAAAATATCGAATCATATCAAATCTATTGACCACTACTCCCGGGGGTTTGGTTTCAGGATGGTCAGGGGTGATGGTTCCAGGGGGACGGTCGTCCCTGGGTCAGGTGATGATTTCATTGTCCATCCGTGAGTTTGATATCCCCCAGAATATCACCTGCCATGTGTCCCGCAGAACAATCACTAGACCGTGGCCCAAACCATTCCCTGACTTCCGCAAAATATCATGGCCCATGATCCTCCGACCGAAACCATCGTCCCTGAGCCCCGCAAAATATCACGGCTCGTGATCCTCCAACTCAAACCATCGTCCCTGAGCCCCGCAAAATATCACGGCCCGTGATCCTCCGACCCAAACCATCGTCCCTGAGCCCCGCAAAATATCACGGCCCGTGATCCTCCAACCGAAACCATCGTCCCTGAGCCCCGCAAAATATCGCGGTCCCGTGATCCTCCGATCCAAACCATCGTCCCTGAACCCCGCAAAATATCACGTCCCGTGATCC